GTGACTGGCGGCTGGCGATGCGTGTCCTGTTCAGCATGCTTGACTCACCGACGTGACAGGGTATGCCAGCGATGTCGGCCTAGCCGCAGAGGCCAACACCACCGGCTGCGTCCACGTCGCAGGCTCCGGCGCAAGCAGGGGTTGAGCCCGGAGACCGGCACGTATGGTTCGTTTCCTTTGGCTCGTCGGCTGCAACAGCCCAAAGACTGCGGGGAGCAGGACTTGCGGGCATTTCGCCGTGCCTTGGAGAATGAGCTCACAGATCTTGTTGCTTTGGTGGGTAGCATCCTTGCCCATGCGCATTGTCTGCTGGAGGGCTATGCCAAAAAGTGCAAGCTCCCGGCCAAAACCCATGCCATGGTCTTCGGCTTGATCTGGTTTGGCACAGGGCTGACAGCCCAGTTCATCGAAGACGAAGTTGAGCTGGAAAGAAAGCTTCTGAATGTGAAAAGCTTGACACGGAAGGATGTTGGGCCGGCAAAGGCCTTCTGGACGAATGCGATGAACTTCGTGGATAAGTTTGCTTTGGGATCGTGATCGGTGCGATGGTCTTACCTCACACACGGAGAGCGGTCATACAGCCCCATTGCGACGTACATCGAGAAGAAGCTTCTCTGACACATCGCCATGAGGGCCACCTCGCCGGACCGCTTTGGCCACAAGAGAGCCCGCAGCGCCGTTGAAAATGGTGCACCGAACTGCCAAGCCTGTTTCTCATCTTCCTTTGAAGCCAGCTGTCGTTCTTGAAGTGTGTGCCGTGGTGGTACGATGTAGTAGTGTGTAGTGAGTGTAGTGGCAGTGGGGGTGGGCAGTTTCGTCTTGCATGCCGCAGCCATTTCAAAATCAAAGCAGTCATTTCCTTATCATAGCTTTCTTTGACATAATGTCAGCCCACCCATCCTCCTCCGGCATGGTTTTGCAAGGCGTGGTTGCCCATGTCGCGAATCCTGGTGGTCTTACCCGATGGCAGCAAAGCAGAAGTGCCGCGAATCTCAGGTGTCCTTGCCCTAACTCGTGTCCGAGTGGAAGTGACCGATGTGCCTGGTGGTCACGGTACTTTGACACTCGGAGCAGACAGCAATTGGACGTTGGATGATGTAAAAAGAGTGCTGGGCAGGGTGGTCAACATCCCGTTGGGAGACTGGGGTTTTCATGCGCTGACGCGCTGCACCCCACACAACATGCCGGTCTCCCATCTGAGGCCGGAAGACATGCCCCTGCGCTTTTGCTGGCATGAGTGGAGCGACAGCTTCAGACGCTCGCAGCAGCAATGATGGTCTTACCTCATCTGGAGAAACAGTGATGGTCTTACCTCATTGCCCCTGGCCGCCTGCGATGATGGTCTTACCTCATCGCTAGGAAGAGTGGCAACTTTAAAGCAGAGACGGCCGCGCGAGGCAAAATCGTCTGCACTCAAGCTTGAGCCTCGGTTTAGGGTATTTAGGGGTTTAGGGTTTTTAGGGTTCAGGGGTAAGCTCAGTTTCGGCATGACTTGTAGAAAAGTTGGGTTGGGTAGGGTTGGTAGGGTTGGGTGGGGGTTGGGTTAGGGTAGGGTTAGGGAAGGGTTGGGTAGGGTTGGGTTAGGGCAGGGTTGGGTGGGGTTGGTTGGGTAGGGGGTTGGGTAGGGTTGGGTTAGGGTAGGGCGGGGTTGGGTTGGGTAGGGTAGGGTAGGGTCGGGTAGGGTGGGGCTCAGGGTTTTTGGGCGGGAAAGCAAACCCCAAGCAGCCCCCAAGCAGCAAAAAAGCTCCGAAGCAGCCCCGAAGCTCCCCAAAAAGGCTCCACAACCGCTCCCCAAAAGGCTGCAAAAGGCTCCAACCTCCCCAAAAGGCTCCCCAAAAGTCTCCATCGCCCCGAAGCTCCCCAAAAGGCTCCAAAAGGCTCCCCAAAAGGCTCCAACTTACCGACCCACCCTTCGGTAAGTTGCCACCCCGCCATCGGTAAGTTGGTCATTCTTGTGTGTCTGCTGCAGCCACTTGGGGTTGAGCACAAAAGCCCTCTCTTGCCGTTGCAATGGCACCAAGGAGTGGCGCGCAAGTCAGAGTTCGTGAACCCGCAGCTGTTGTGAGGCCTGTGGTCTTACCCGGGCTGACCAGGCAAAAGCCAAAGGCTAAGGTTACTGCAAGGCCCGCGGTCATACCCAGGATCACCAGGCAGAAACGCAAGGCCCAAAGTCCACAGCAGCCTGCCCTCCGCAAGCAGGCTCGGCCTGTGACTTCCAAATCGAAGAAACGCCCACCTGCCTGGAATAAGGGCCGCAAACACAGCAAAACAAGCAAGCAGCACGTGTTTATCCCTCGCGAACAGCTACCGCTTTTTTTTGCGGTGGCACTGTACTTCGCTGGTCCCTCCTATTGCGCTGTCCTGTGGATAACTCTTGTCACGTCGAGGAGGATTGGGGAAACAGTGCTGCTCAAAGGTTCAGATGTTCGCCTGCGCGGTGGCGAGGATCATGATTCGCCCCACATTCTCTTTCAACGCGCAGAAGGCGATCAAGGAAACGGAAAGCTGCCCGAGGAAAGAGTTGTTGCCAGACTTTCAGACGAAGCAGTGGACGGGCTGACCCGAATGAAAGAGGAAGGCTTAAATTGGCAATGCTTGCCAGCTTTAGAACCATACCGGGCAACCCACCCAACAGTCTTCCAAGGCAAGAAAGGTGGTGGTCTTACCCCGATGCGACAGCAAACTTTCAAACCTGACTGGGGAAATTCAGACCACATCTTTCCGTCGGAATCCAAAAAGAAGGGTTGCCGAGCAACCATGGCAAGGCAAACGGTATGGGGTGCTTTGGATCGTGTACGGCAGGTGATGTATGATCTCACAAACCACGAAAGGAGGTGGAACCCGAGTGTTAGATGTCGAGGCAACAGAGTCACTGTTCATGGCGCCACCCGACACACAAGCGCTGCTCTCCTGCTGTTCAACAGCGACAAATCGCTGGAGAGCGCCAAGCCGTCGCAACATGTAATCATGGAGCTGCAGAATCGGTCTGATCCACGAGTTTTTTTGAAACATTACTTCCACGCGCATGAAGAGGAAATACAGAGAGGCTTGCAGTATGGAGCTGCTCCAAGCCCATTCAAAAAGAAGACCGACAATCAAGGACAAGAGGGCACCGTGGTCTTACCCGTGCCAGTTGAAACACATTCCGACAACTTCGCACCGATCCCACAAGAGCAGGTCGCCAACTTTGCAAGCAACCACAATTCCTGCACGGGGGCTAGCTGTTCATCCGGCTCCGCTGTGAATTCAACACCTGGGCCTGCCGCTAAACCCCCAAGCTTGATAGCAGCGAAAGCCAAGTCGGCTGTGGCCCCAAAAGAAACTGCATCTGAGCATCACCATGCTTATGTCAGCCGAAACGCATGTCGTCAAGCCCGACGGAAGGAAAGGAAAAAAACTCAAGCTCAAACAGCTCAAGTTTCCTGGTATTACTGAGTTGTGGAGGTCTATCCTGTGCCGTTTTCATGACGACTCGACTTGCAGCGGCAGATTGTCAGCGAGGAGCGCAAGCTTCATGCCAGTATACTGGTGAGATGCAGTGGTCTTACCTTGCATCAGGTTCATTTCACCAATGTGAGATGCCGTGGTCTTACCCTGCATCCTGTTCATTTTGCCAACGTTTCCTCATGTAGACAAACTCTATCGTGCAGCGGGTGAAGAAAGTCCGAATGCTCTAAGTTGCAGTCGGTGCGTCCGACCAACTGTACCTCCAGGGTAAGGGTCTCAGGAGTTAGGGGTTAGACAAGGCTTCGGGGCTGAGGAGCCAGATGATGTTGTAGAACAGAGCAGTGCGAGAGATGTGGGCCCCTTGCATGTTCGGCACGGCCAGGAAGGCCCCATGCAAGTATTCTGTGGCGCCACACCCCTGCTCGAACATCTGTATCCGTATCTCATCGTCTGTATTTTCTTGAACTTTTACTTGATATTCCAGATTCGTTGTTTGTTTGAAACAGGTGGGTACACAATCTTTCCATGCTTCTAGACAGCTGCCAGTTTGTCGGCTGTGGACCCCTTGCAGGGCAATTTCTTGCAAGTTTGTGGATCCACGCCCCTGGCTAGTAAAATCTAAAATCTACCGCACTCATTGCTATCTGCTGACTCGCAAGAAACATTAAATAGCTCTTTGAAAAATGTGTCGTGGGCTTCGCAAGAGCAATGGCCTCACTTTTTGATTTTCGGTTTCCGGGCGCTGGAACCTTGAACTCATGGGGCTTTCAGGTTGTCTAAATGATGTTATTGTTCGGCCCTGCAGCCGAGCCAATGGTATTACCTGGCAAATCTACCGGCGCCAATCTCCATGTGTGTTCCAGTTGATGCCATTGAACCAGGTTGGCGTTGCACGGCATTGCACAGTTTACAGAGCCATACCCTGAACCGAACCTCTAAACCCTAACCATGACACCCAACGACTGCCTCAAATGCTTGCACGCGTGCAAAAGCCAAAGTTCATAGGGGCAACAGGTCTTCGTGTGGGGTCAGTTTAAACTTCTTTAAGTGTGTTGCCAGGCCTTAGGGTTTACGGTTTAGAATAAGGGTTTAAGGTTTTAGGTTTTAGAGTTTAGGGTATTGGGTTTCCTGCCTCCTTTTTGCCATGCCTCTCTAGCCACATCCGGCACGCTGCTGAGCCTGTACAAAACCTGTTCTGGCGCAATGATGCGCTGTTCTGCAACTGATCCGCAAGGCCTCATGGCCTTGATCAGGCTTTGGCACCTAAGCAAAAGGCAGGCCTCACAGGGCACAGGGCGGGAAGACTATGTATGTAAAGAGTCTGCATCTATCTTAGGTTTCGTGCCTTGCAAGGGCCTGGGCCTGGGTTATACGAAAAGGGTCTCCGATTGGGACCGTGCAAAACTTGCTGCTCTGCCTGCAGCAATCACGGATGTCAGTCTTGCGGGTAAGACCACGCAAAACGCAAGCCCTGAAGGGAATGCCAGGATCCGCCTGAGCAAAAAACGCAATCCGGTAAGACCAGGTGCTGAGCCCAGGCCTCATGGACTTGTCTACCATGGCTCCTCACTGGAAGACGAGGAGCTCTCCTCTTTCTTCTTTTTGGTAGCTTTCTTGCTCTTCTTGCCCTTTTTCTTAGTCTTCTTGGCGGACTCGACACTCTCAGAGGACTTGTCTTTCTTTTTGGAGTCCTTTGGCTTCGGTTTGGTCTTCGGCTCTCCGTTTTTGGGCTTCTTCTCTGTGGGCTCGTCCTCGGTATTGGTCTTGCCATTGTCAGCGCCAGCATGGAGCGGGCGCTTCTTCAGATTCTCAAGGACGTCCTTGGCATTTTTGCGGTGCAGACTACTTCCCTCTGTCGCCATGCACTTCACAACCCATTTTGTCAGATGCTCTTCCAAACACTTGTTGTGCGTCTCTGTCAGACCAAAGCATAGGACGGGCGTCCTCGACTCCACACAGGCTCGCAGGAAATCACCCTGCCCGGGTGTGAAATCTATTGCGCAGGACACGCAGTACGACCAGAGTGTCTCCAGATGGAATTTGGTGGGCAACTTTGCGGACGGGAAGACAGACTCCACGGTGCTCACCTCCTCGCCCAGTTTCGTGTCTTGCAGAAGGCCTTTGCTGAGAATACAAATAAATAATAACACATATCTGCTAAAAAATCTCAATGCCGGAAAGTCGCTAATCTTCTCCTTGTCGCTCAACTTGAGGATCCCCCTTTGTCCGAGAATTTGTTCCTTTTCCTGCCTGCACAACAGCCATACAATTTGGCAATTGTGAAGCAATGGCTTGGATTTAGGGCTTACCTCAGGCATGGAATATTTGGGTGTTATTGAGGGCCTGGGGGGCTTAAAGGCTCCTTACTTAGAGACTCAGGGTTGGGGTTGAGGGTTTTCGGTTTTCAGGGCTGAGTCCAAACCTGCTGGTCACCCACAGGTCGTCTGATCCAACGCAGTCAACCCAACCGATGACGTCGCCCGTGTTATACCCGCTGTAGTGCTTCCTGCGTCGTTCAGGAAAGGTTTCTGGCACACACCCCTTCTGTGTGTACGCAAACACATCCGTTTGCTGGCTGTAGCCGTCGCTGGTTTTGATGCGCTTCTTTCGTTGCCGAATGCCTTCTTCATTGAAAACAACTCCGATTTTCTTCTCCCAAGCATCCGTGTTCACGACTTGCTTGCTCTTCTCCAAACGGAACATCTGCCGTGCGGATGTTAGAATGTCCGGCCGTCCACCTGAGTGGATGAGCACCATGTCTGTCTCGCACGGCACTGGCGCTTCACCCTGATCGCTTTTCTGCTGCGCTCCGCGTGCGAGGAGGGCTCCATGAAGAAGCGACTTCCACGTGCCTACCTCGAAGGGCTTTGAACGACGCAAGCCGCGCTGTGCAAGTGGACCACCGCACGACTCACCCAGGAGGTCCATGTCCATCCACAAGCAGCAGCACCTAAGGAGATGGAAAACACTAAACCCTAAACCCTAAACCCTAAACCCCTAAACCCTAAACTAACCCTATTAAACCGTTTCTAATTTTCTGGCCTACGACATTAATTGCAGAAAAAAATTCTCAGGCGAGACACGTAGAGCCTGCCACCACCTCCACGTCTTTGAGCACGGACTGTGTTACAAGCTGCATCATTTGATTTTGTGTCTCAGGTAAAACCATGAAACTGACAAAACGTCTCACCATCTCATTCGCCACCGCCAACCAGTAGCCTTCGCTCTCCTCCGTGAAATTGCTTGCTGGCTTCCGCATTTGTGCCAGGGCCGTGCCGTGGTCTGGGTCTTCCGGCGTTTCCTCGGGCTCGGCTTCGCGCCGCAGCTTGACCTTCTCCTCTGCAAGCTCGTTTGTTCTCAGCTGCTCGATTTGGCCCCACTTCTCTTTCAGGGCCTCGTTTTCCATGACCTCCTCCATGCTTTTCTTTCCTTTAGCCAGCTGCCTCAGGTGATGGTCGTACTTCTTGCTGTAGACCAGATCCTGCTGCATCTAAGAAATATTGCGGGGTTTAGGGGTTTAGGGTTTAGGGTCTCAGCAAAAAAAATGTTCGGGTTCAGGTTTAAAGGTCTATAAGGTCTCGGGTTTACAATGCAAGCCTTGGACCTAATTAAGGGCTTTTTCCACCCCCGACGCACCTCTAAAAATCTGAGGGCTTGCATGCTCGACTCCAGCAGCATGCCCTGCCAAGCCACGTCATCACCCAGCATTCTTTTGTTATATGTCGTATGGTCCAGCAATGCTTCTCCAATGACGACGCGGTCCTGTTCACGGATCTGGGCTCGGGGTAAGACCACCGCCTTGAAGTGGGCCAAACAGTCCAGCTTCAGTTCTGTCAGGGCAATGAAACCGCATGTATTGTGCCCGTCCCCCACCAGGAAAGACTTGCTGACATCATCATTTTCAAGCATGTTGCGGAAAATCATGTCCCGTAGAGCTTGGAAGATAAAGCTCCTTTTGGCTGGAGTTGTCTTTGTCGCCAATGCGTGCAGCTTCTGCATGGAATTCAGGCAACTGCCTCTGCCATACCTGTCTTCCAAATCTCTGATTGTTGTCAGCACTTCCTCGCCTGTCAGTTTCTCAGCCACTGCAAGTGCGGTGCAAATGAGATTCGTCGACAGGTCATCTTGGCTGCTTGCTTTCTTGAGGCCCGACTCCTTGATTTGCGTTTGAAAACCTGTGTTTGACAATGCTCTGTTCGCCTCCTTCTCCAAACGCTTCTTCAGCAGCTTCATCTCTTGGGCCATCTGAAATGCTGTTCTTCCTAAGGACTCAAAATCCTGAGCGATGGCATTGCGATTGTTCCAGCTTGCGATCCACTCATCTTCGGGTTCCTTCACAAAGCACAAGGGCACGGATCGCAGGATGAGGGACCACCGATTCTTGTGGTGTGGCAGCTGCCTGGCGCATGCATGCAGCATTGAATGCACGTAGCCCTCGGGAGTCAGCGTCTGCAACGCCTGGGGGACAGCCGGTACATGACCCGGGACTGGCCCAACGACTTGCAGTAACACGCGTGCGAAACTGGGTTCTTGGTCCGCAGGCCACCGGAAGTCCGCCAATTCCTGAACGGTGCGGAAGCTGAGTGGAACCCCTGGCGAAGGACTTCTGAGCACGTCCAGCCAAAGCAAATTGCCTGCCGCAACATACTGGCCCTGGTTGCCCATCGCACGCTCACACATCTCCTTGTCGTATGGCTCCTGCGCTCTGGAAACGTGCATGCTACTGGCATCATGTTGATCATGAAAAAACAAGAATTCACAACCCAGGCTACAGTATTAACAACAAGAAATCCATCCTGGACTCCGCCGTCGCCATCTTTGTCTTTGGCTGCGATCTGCACTGCGAGCTGCCTTCCGAAATCAGACCCCATCACCTTCAGGATTTTTTGCAGGTCTTCCTGGACATTCTTGTAGTAGTCTGCGTTGTTCACGTCCAGTGGTGCAGGAGGTGGGGCTGCTTTTTTCTTGGGGAACGGATCACTTGGGGCGGAAACGGTAAGACCAGCATCCAGCGCCTGTTGCTTCTTCTCACTTGCTGCTTTGGCTCTGGCCATCTTGGCATCCCTTTCCAACTCATCTTTTTTCCTGTTCTTCTCGCCCTGCACAGATGTACACTCGACTCTGACATCTCGCTCTGAAGCTGAGCACAAAAAAAAAGGAATCGGGGAATACTGTTTATGAAAGCGAGACACTTCTCTCATGTCCTCTGGGAGTTCCTCGAACTCGCTGGAAGCCTCAAATTCCACCAGCTTCTTCTGGATCTCCTCCTGCCACAGAGAAACCCAAAACCCTTAGACTTGTAAACCCCAAACAACAAATCCGACCCCAAACAGTCCTTGTCTCCTGCGGTCAACCTCCAAGCACTCCAGTTCTTCGGAACCCCATCGGGAAGCACAACGGCTTTTTTGGGCGGCATCCCTACTACAGCAGCTGCCTCGCGTTGCTCACTGTAACTTGCAAGTCTCGAGCAGCTTCATGGTGCTGGCAGGGTTCAAGCTAAACCGTAAACCCTTAAACCCTAGGTCACATGACGGATGACTTCAAAACATCAAAACCTCAATTCCGAATCAGACGTCCTTTTACTTTTTCGCATCTCACCAAAGTGCGGCAAGTAGTTTGCCTCTCTCATCTGCTCAAAACAGAGCACTGAGCACCCCAGGAAAGACCATACGAGCAGGGTGCCTTTCCGAGGTAAAACCATCAGAAAGAAAGCAGCGAGATTGACTGTCTTGCACAGCCCCTCACGAAATCTGCCTTTTCAGTGCTTTGTCAGCTGCATCAGCCAGGCTCGAACCCGTAGCTGTTTCCTGCCAGGGGTCCAGCTCGCTGGCGTTCTCAATGTATCCGATGCAATGCAAAGCAGCCAGGAAGACCTTGCAGAGGACGTTGATAGACATTCCATCCCCCAGAGCACTTCCAAAGATCTTCTTCGAGGTTCCTCTCACCAGGGTTTTGGCCAGAGCACGGGGCAGACCTTGCAGTCTTGCTGCTTCACCCAGGTTCAAACGCCGTTTCAAACGTGGAATGTAAAAATCCAGGGGGTCCTTGTTCAGTCTCGCTTTTGTCAAGCAAGGCGCCGCGCCGGCTTTGAAGTTTGTCCACCTAGCGCTGCAGCCCACATCCAGCACGCAACTTTTCCTGCAGACGTCCTCGCCGAACTTGCTGGTGAACTTGGACAAATCAACGGTGTCGTCGTCCCCAACCGTCTGGGTGTCCAAAAAAAACCCGAGTGCATTCTTCGAGTGCTTGATTTGGCTTGGCCAGCGGAATTTGCGCTTCTTGTACTTCTGCTGGATTGCAACGATATAGACTCGTGGTCGACTTTGTGGTATTCCGTAGTGCATGGTGTTAAGTGTCTTGCAGTAAACCTTGTACCCCAAATTTGCCAGAGTCTCTTTCATGCAATTGGTGAGGCCAGCGTGACGTTTCTGCAGGAGTCCCTGCACATTTTCTAGCACAACTACTCGGGGCTGATGGTGTGAAATGTAAATCAGGCCGTGGTACGTCAGCTGTCCTCGAAATTCCGAGTCCCCGCCGCGTTTCCCCAGTGAACTGAAGCTAGGGCACGGAAAGCCTCCCACATAAAAATCGCACGAAGAAGCCCTTTCATGATCTCTGGTGCTTATGTCTACCGGGCCTTCTGCCTCCTCACCCGGGAAGTGCAGGTACTGGCGCACCAAGTCGTGCAGTTTCTTCTTTCCTTCGTCTATCTCACTCCAACCGACCAAATGACAATGCTTCGCGAGGCCGCACAAGCTCAGCGCCACAAGATCGCAACCCATGCCAGCGCAGTCGCTGTAAAGACGCAGCCTCTTTCGCCTGGGTAAGACCACTGGCGGGGCATCTCTACGGGCAACAACTTGCGGATCCGACGCCAAGTCCTTCAGAATTTTCTGTAACTCCTCGACACTTTGGCCTTCCTTCACCGTCTCTGCTGGCGCGCGCTTTCGCCGCTTCTTTTTAAACAAGGCTACCATGGCAGCTACCGGGTTCGCCCTGTCTACAACTTCCTGCAATCACAGTCATGCAATGTTCCACGTATACGTCGGGCCAACATGCGGCGAACCCTCCATATATAACTCTAAATTATTTAAACAACTTCCTGCAATCACAGTCATGCAATGTTCCACGTATACGTCGGGCCAACATGCGGCGAACCCTCCATATATAACTCTAAATTATTCAAGGTTCAGGGTTCAAGGTTCTGACCCCTAGGCTCCGCGAACTGAGACCCTAATTAAGCCCCTGGCCTCAGCCTAAACAGCCCACAACTCAACCCAAATCAAAACCTTTTAAAGAATAATTCGATAACCAAACGGCCCTAGAACCACCGTATTACGTCACCCCGCACGCCCGTATAATGTCACCCTGCACGCCCGTTATAACACGAAACGGCGGCCCCTAGTTATATTGTCCTTACTTACTACAAGACGCACCCGGCGATCGGAAGCCACGCCCGCCCGCATAACGTCACCCCCGCACGCCCTTTAACGTCACGAAACGGCGGCCCCTAGTGTCCTTACGCGCCCGGCGACCGGCCCGGCGATGCGTAAGCCCCTAGTGTCCTTACGCGCCCGGCGACCGGTCCGGCGATGCGTCAGAGCCCCGCACGCCCGTTATAACGTCACCCCGCACGCCCGTACGTGGCGGCCCCTAGTGTCCTTACGCGCCGGCGGACCGGTCCGACTTTTTGCGTAAGGACACTATGGAGTCCATAGTGTCCCAACGCGCCGCCGGACCGGTCCGTGGCTGCGTAAGGACACTAGTGAACGCTACCACCGGCTGCGTAAGGACACTAGGCGGCTACGGACGCTGACCGCCCTAGTGTCCTTACGCGCCGCCGGACCGGTCCGGCTCTGCGTAAGGACACTATATGGAGTCCATAGTGTCCTTACGCGCCGAGTTGGACAGACACGCCCTTATAACGTCAAACTTTGCACGCCCCGTTATAACGTCATCCCGCACGCCCCGTGTAACGTCAACCATACCCTGCATACTATAAAATCTTAGACCTAGAGGCTTATACCAGGCTAGCCCCTTAAACATAACCAAAAATCCTAGGACAGTAGGCAACGCTGTTTCTTAGACCTTTGCACACCCGTATAACGTCATCCCGCACGCCCTGTGTAACATCAACCATATATTCTTTATAAATAGACCTAGACGAATCGAGGCTTATACCAGGCTAGCACCTCAAACATAACAAAAAATCCTACAAGTCCGGAAGCAACGCTGTTCACCGTGCTCTGCGTCTCCCCTCCACAAGCAGCTGCTCGTCCAAACCCCTTGACTCTGACCTAAGTATTGAAATTTAGGAACGACCAGACATTGCTGGGCACAAGTTCCGCCGGGCGACTCTGATCAGTAGGTCCTCGGCTGTACAAGTTGCTCTTCCCCGCTTCTTCATTGCCTTCATCTCCTTTGAAATGCAGAGCACAACCTTGGCCTTGCTGGGCTCATCAGACAATGTCCACGCCGATCCGGGGTCAGCGGGTAAGACCACGCCGCGCAGGAAACTGCTCACCGAAGGGTTTTTTTCCGTGAAAGCTGGCGTCACGTGCAAAACGCACTTCTCAGCAGTGCCTCTCCGGAAGTGCAGCGCAAAAATTCCGGGTGCCTGTGGCTCCAGGACTGTCTGCGAAATCAATGTGCCACCTTGCAGTGACGCCGCCCACTGGGCCTTCTTCTCCGGATTTACACTGTCCACAAGGAAGACATTCGCGGCGGACAAGTCGGAAGTTACAGCATGAGCTCCATAGTTGAGGCAAGCTTGCCGCAGATTCTGAACCTCCCTCCCCAGCCACACCGTCTTGCCTGCGAGCATCTTCTCGAAATGATCACGCGGTTTTTTTTGACCTGCCATGTCCCAGAATTCTTTCTTCGTTGTTTGTGCCCCAATGCGCTTTGCATCTTCCTGGCGTAGCCTGTTCTGCCAAGCTTCCACATTCTTAGCACTCGTTTTCTCAGACTCGAGCAAGCTGCCATTTGCTTGGGCCTCCATGCGGCGCTTCTCAAGGACGCCCTTCAAGTGCTTGGCCTCGCGCTCCATTGCTGGCGTGAAGTCCATTGTGGCTGCTCTCTTGGGCGGTGGAGTTTCTGTTATGGCCTCGTCCAATTCACGCCGGCGCTTGCGCAACCAGTCTGCTTCGGTTTTCACGCCGCTCTTGTCCTCGACATCTCGCTGCACTCCTGCGTCTCGTCGCTTCTTGCGCGGCTGCGACACACGCTGCCGCCCTTCTGCATAGATGCGGCGCGCGCTTTCAACAAGTGTCTGGTCCGACGCTTCATTTCCGTCGTCCGCCAGAGCGATGACAGATCTGCGAAAGGAATCGGTGTTTCCGTTTCCTCTTTCAAGGTGGCAACGATCCACCTTGCTGAAATGTTGCTCGACGCCAGAGCTTGAGGCTGTGAAAGCAACATACGCAGACAGAACCTGGGCACGGGGTGACGTCTCATGTTTTGCTTAGCAAGTCTTATTAGGGATTTAAGGGTTTAGGATTCAACCAAGACGCAGGGAAAATGTTCTCAATGCTTTGCCTGGAGCGAACCTGGCTTCCTGCCACGCGTGTAAAGGCATGCTGCCACGCAGCGCGATTGCCACACCCACTGCTTTCATGGTGCGCGAGTGCGATGGCATGCATTTTCCCAAACTCCTGCTGCAAACCCAAAGAGTCTACGTTGAACACCTGGCTGAGACGCTGCAGAGCAGGCAGAACAACCCGTCCAGAGGTAAGACCATCTGGCTGCTTGCGCCGCAAACGCTGCATGCCTGTGTTCTTCTGGCACACGTTGAAGACCTTAAATGCCATGATCACGTCGAAGTCTGGAAACTCAGCGCGCACGGTTGCCTTGCACAGTTGCACACATCTTGCCATGACACGCAAAGCCGCCTGCCGGGCGTGCGCAAGGTCATGGCCGCCCAGAAGCTTCGCATGCCCATTTGTGAAAGCAATCAGCGTGCCTGACTCCAGAACTTTGAGACAGTGGCTGGTAAACCCATGGAGCGCCAAGCATTGCTCGTGCTGAAACAGCGCCTCCGACGGTTCCTATTATCCTGAAAATATAATCACTAGTCTATTAGTGAGTCTTAACGGGCAACCCTGATAAACCCTAAGCGCACAAACAACACAAAAAAAAAAAGAAGTCCCAACCCTCCGAGGATGATTCATGTCGCCTCCAAGCGGGTACAAAACACGCTGACTTCCTCATTCATGGACGCAATGTCCATGTTCTCCGAGTCCAAAAAACGTGTCAGCTGCAGCGTCGTGTCTGCCATGTCAGCGCACATGGCCAACAACAAGAGTTTGCGTTGGGTAAGACCACTTAAGAAAACCCCTGCCCATTTCGCATCAGAGCCCTTCGCTGCGATGATTTGGTTCAAAACCGTCACGATTGCATCCAAATGCAGGATAAAACGTGCGAGCGGTTTGCTGAAAGAGCAGAAGCGATGCTTGGCTGCTGACAGCGTCTCTCCAGCTTTGAAGCTGCTCTGCTTCACAGCAGTCTTGAACCAACCGCTGTACGTGTGACTGTTCCAAATCTTTTGGCAGACACTGTCTTTGTCCGTGACTGTTTCCTGGCAAGGTCACATGCTAAAGGCTCAAATCAATCATGCAGACACTAAGTGGATAACTTACACCCTCACCCAACCCCATCATGTCCTGCAGCAAGGCGTGCAACTCCTCGTCCGCGCTCCACGGGCGCGACAACAGGCGCTGGGCGGCATGTGCCCGATCTCTGCCAATGATCTTCTGGCCTGGGAACAAGGGCGTTTCGTTCTCAGCTGTGCTGGTCCTTCGAAAACCTGTGGCCAGGTTCTGCGCCAGCAACTCAGAGGACGCACAATCCGTTACCACCATCTGGCAGTTCTGTCGGAGCTTCTCGAACAAGTCCTTGTCGTACTCTGGGATGGAACCACGAAACCCCCGCGGAGCATTGTACCGACTTTGGCAAAACGTTTCCAGGCCGCGACGTGTCCCCAGCAAGATTTCCTCCGCGTGGCCACCCGGCAAGGTCTCCAGGGCCAGGACGCCACTGCGGACATTCAGCGTTGCGCTCTCGCACAAGCGAAAGCGCACCATCAATTTACCATGGCGCTCGTCCCGGATCAAAACGACAGAAGAACATGTGCGCGCAGCCGCCCTATGTTCATCCAACATTGCTTCGGTGAGGCACCATCTCATCAAATTTATCTTGTCGCTGCAGCCTCCTCCATCTCGAGCACTGCGCCCTTTTCTCATTCTCCTGAGGCAGCTTTGGAACTCCTTGGCAGGGGGCGCGATGCCACTCAGCAATTCACCGGCGCCCGTTGTACAGTACAGCAGGGCGTCTTTATGGAAGGTGCTACCTTCGTGCTTCTTGCACTGGGCTGAAAGCCCACGCCTGGGATCAGCTTGGAGGGACAGGCTGGCGAATGTAGATGCGGAGGTAAACATCCGGCTTCTGCTGCAACATTGTTCGGTAATGATGGCAAAGCCAACATCCTATGCCAAGCGTTGGCTTGTCCTTCTTCCTCCAATGCATGGCCATGGCTAGCCACGGCCTCCTTTCACCGCTCCGCTTCTCGCGAAAAGCAAATTGCTTCCGCAACGCAGGTCCCCTGCGATGCCAAAAGCAACGAACGCAGTGTTTCTTCTTGCACTTCTTGTAATGAGAGGCCAGCATCTTCGGAGTGATGAATCTCCGCGCATCTGCCGCATCTGCCATGGCTAGGAGGTCTTGGCAGACTGTGTTCAATTGTCAGGCTGTTACTTGCGTTGAAGAACATGTTTGTGCTGTGTTTACTTAGAAGCTGACACAAAGCCTAGCTCTATTTAAATAGTAAATAGTAAGTTAATAACCAAAACCTAAACCCTGGTCAGTGAAGAGTGCCCTTCAAATACTCCCGACCACATGCCATTTGAGATTGCCGTGGCGACAACACATGAAGCAAGTTCCACACTGCAGCTCGCAAGTCTTTTAACCACATGTTTCTCTTGCACAAAAACGTACCTACCTGCCAACCTATTTGGGGCTTGGGGTTTGTGGTCACCAGGTGGGGTTTTACGGTTTAAACAGTTCAGGGTTGCGAGTCTAAGGTTTTTTAAGTGTAGAGGTACAGTAGAGGAAAAAAGGGATTTAGGGGTTTAGTGTAATGACGGGTTTAGGGTTTAGGTCTCAAATTTCGAGCAAGATTCGGACATTTCTCATCTCCAGAAGTCCTGAAGTCTGCGAGCGCAGCAGCCACAGCGCGAATCCCGAAACACTTTTATAATAGTTCCTAAACGGCTGGTGAACCATGAACAAAAATTATGGGCTCACTTATAAGCAGAGGAATCGGGATCTTGCGCCGGTGTGACACGAAAGCTTGTGCTGCAACGGCACTGCTCCTCGGAACGGTTAATCAAAACAGCTTTCTAGTGTTTTGATTCTGTAACCAAAAACATCTTACAACAACATAAACAACGTCAAAACAAGGTTTCGGGAGCAGTGCTGTGTTGGAAGACAGCATGAAACGTTCTAACTACAAATGCAAGGTAAGACCATTGCGAGGACCGTGCACAAGCAAGGTAAGACCATTGCTGCTACTACTGTACACCGAAGCAAGGTAAGACCATCGCCCCAGTCTCTCACTCACGCGCTCTGGACTGCATGCTTCCAGGCACTCCTGGCGCGATGTTTCGCCTGGCGCAAAATATTATCATGAGCCGTGTTGACCTGGTTTGGTTGCCCACGGCAAATGTCGCAAGGTCCGCACTGGCGCTCTGCCCAGTTCCCTGCCATCTCGGTCACGTGAGCACATTGAACTGCCTCTATGATGTTGGAGTTTTGTAAGGCGTGCTGGAGGAGAAAGGCCATGGCCACGGAGCGGTGGTTGCCGCTCTTGCAGAAGCAGAGGACGCCGACCGACCTGCGCTGACCCGCGGGGATGTCTTTTTCTTGCGCGGCGCGGACCGCGCGTCGCACAAAGCGGACAAACTCGTGGAACCATGTCGTCTCGGACTCCGCCACCATGCGTATGATCTCGGGGTGGTACCCTATGTGGTCGCGCAGGGTGTTCTTATTCCGGGGGTCGTGGAAGACCCGCGTGTCCAACGCAACATGCTCTGTGGTGTTGCGCGGGAAGACGTCCACCTCGCGCAGCATCTCAACAAGTGCGTTGTGGTCCACCGCCCGGTCTCCTTTGGAAGTTGCCAACAGCCTCATTGCTTTGCATTTGTGGTACAGGGCTGCCGGCAACCTGTTCCTGCCGCTGGCCGGGGCCAAAGTGAACTGCAGGTTGGCCACCCCACACGTCACAATGTCCACGTAGACCTTGTTCCGCTTGGGAGGTAAGACCATCCCAGCCGTAGGCCTGTCCGCTGGACGTGCCTTCGCATCTGCAGCAGCTGCCGCCTCCTCCTTCGTGGCTTGGACTGGGGGCTCCTGGTCCACCTCCATCGCCTCATCGACCTCTGTCTTGGCATGGTCCTCGCCTGCACCGCGCTGGGAGGTAAGACCATCCCTGACCTGGGAGGTAAGACCATCCCTGACCTGGGAGGTAAGACCATCCCTGATCCTTCCAGCAGCCAGCAAGGAGCAGCTTAGTGAGGGGCCGCCCAATGCTTTCAGCAGCAGCAGCGCTTTGCGGGGCTCCGGTTGCGTGTCCGTATTCCGGAACCACCGCCCCTCACTAAGCTGCTCCTTGCTGCTGTCCCTGTTCCTTGCATTTTGCAAGGACCACGTGAGACTGCAGCCCGAATGTTGGACCTTTGCTGTGGTTTGGGCAACTTTCTCGTCTCTGTCATTTGGGATCGACCACCCGCGGTGGAAGGAGAGTCGATAGGCCCAGCCCGGCGCCTTGTGCTTCAGGCGCTCAAAGAAGTCGATGTCCTGCACATTCAAGGTTTAGGGCTTCGGGTGGGTTTAAGTTTTATATTATAGGGTTAGGGTCTGCGCTTGTTACGTGAGGGTTTAAGGCTTCGGGTTAGCCATGTTTTGACTCAAACATCCTGGTAGCCAGTCGGGTAGAAGGACTCGTCGTAGCCGTTGAGCTGCAGGAAGGTTTCCTCACGTGAAAAAAAATCCGGCACTTTATAAGTTCCGGTACCCTAAACCCTATTATTATACCACCCTAAAGCCCTATTATTATAAACCCCAAACCCTAAAAAACCAGCAACCCTTGCGGTCCTGTGTCACGCCCATGCGGCCTGTGCAGCCAGAGTCACCTCCTCCCGCAGCGGAAACCAAACATCTGCCTCGGCAGGGTCGTAATGCCACCGTGGACTTGGTTGTTGGCGGCAAGGAGGCCAACAAAATTGCCAGACAAAATGTTGTCGGCGTCCAGGTTGATTAGGATGTGCCTGCGTCTGTCCGTGGAGGCAGCTGTCGCTGGCGCCACGTGTTCCCAGGCCTGCGGCTCCCTTGTCCAGTCCGTGTCCAAGGAGGTAAGACCATCCGAGGACACAAAGCCTTGGCCCCAAGGCACCAACAATGCCAGCTTGTGAGCCGCGTTCTTGCACACGGGGGAATGAAAAATTCGGCACATCATTTGCAAAGCGGACCACCAAGAACCCGTTTGCCAGCTCTTCCTGGAAGTGTTCTTCGATGAAAACTCTTGTCTTCTCGCCATCTGTGCCGGCATTGTCATACAAAGAAATGCAGAAACGCACATTCTGCATGTGGCCGCGCTGGAGCATAATATTTGCTGGCAACGCCTTCCTGAGCTGCCATCCACGGCCGAAGCAGCAGATGCAGAAAGAAATCCTCAAGCTCAGAAGCTCCTTGGGCAGTGGCTCCTCCTCGGAAACGCTCCGCACCAGGTTGACAGCCTCTTGGCTGAGACCATTCTTGTCTCTGGCTGCCTGAACTTGCCTGATGGCCAAGGCTCTCAGTCGTTCCCATCTTGACTGGGGCGGAGCAGGCCCTGTAGTCGCAGCATCCTCTTGCGTTTCTTCGTCTGAGGTAAGACCATCAGACGACTCATCCGTCTCTACATGATCGGGCGCCGCATGCCCTCCCGCCTCAGACAGTGACTCCTCCGAGCCGCCCCAGTCCACGGAATCGTCGTCCTGCTTTTTTTCCTGGCAAAGACAATGTTTTCGCTTATAAGAGAAAGCGGACCCACAACAATAAAATCGACCTCAAAGCTAAAAAGTAAGCCCTAAACCTAAAAGTGGTTTAAAAGGTTTAGGTTTAAGGGTTTGGACTTTTAGAACTTTTGTTAGGCCTCCTCCTCTGCGGGAGCGTCGCCCTCGTCCTCTTCCAGGACCCGCTTGGCTGGTGGGCAGCGGTGCCAGGCCACCTTGCCATCTTCCAGATCTGCCAGCACACCTTGCTCTGCCAGCTTGTTGGTCTCCCGCACAAAATGCCGCCAAGCGGCCTCAGCTTGAAGGCCCTTGATGGTCATGCGGGCTCTCTTGTGGCCAAAGCGGTCCGGCGACGTCGCCCTCATGGCGATGTGGCAGAGAAGCTCCTCCTGGATGTACGTCGCAATGGGGCTGTATGACCGGTCTCTGTAGCTGTTCATTGCCAGCGGGACCAGCGCCGTCACGAACTGACCAGGCGGAAACTTGCTGGACCACTCAGTCTTCCGGCTTGAAGTGGCGGCGCCAGGGGTAAGACCACCTGGCAAACGACCGCTTGAAGTGGCGGTGCCAGTGGCAAGATCACCTGGCCACTGTTCTGGCCAACCGCTCCACCAGCCACCCCAATCACTCCAGCCGTACCAGTCGCTGTCCCAGCCGCTGTCCCAGCTGCGGCCCCAGCTGCCGTACCAATCGCGACCCTGGCCGGAGCCCCGGCCTCGGCCTCGGCCTGCCATGTTTTGCAAAGGCCGGGGTGAAACGAAAACTTAGCTTTGCAGGTCTGAGTGGTTCTGAGTCATGGATTGTAAGGCTATGGCTAAATTAATACTGCATGCTCCTGCAAGTACATCATGTTTTCCTATTCGGCACTGTTCCTGCAAACCCGCGGGCTCAGGGTCTACCAAAGGAACTAATTTAACGGTTTGACCTAAACAATAAGCTTTTATAGTGTTATTCGAATCATCCTTAAAAGATCATCTTTGAAGCATCTCTTGTCTAGCCTTCTGGTATTGAATTTGCCTGAGCCGTGACATCGAAAGCAGCAGATGCAGTTCAGGGTTTTTGGGCCGTGTGCACAGAAGCGGCAGATCCAAGGCTTCGAAGCTTCTTAGAGATTAGAGCTTTAGGTTTTGTGGGCTTTAATTCAAATGTGAAGAATGGGTTTCAGCTTCAAAAACCTCAGGGCCTTAATTATGATAAAGACCTGAAGCCTTAAATGCCCAACACCCTTGAATCCTCCTCAATCTTCTGCACAAAGCAAAGTAGGAAGGCACGCTACCCCGGAACGCCCGGCTGACAGGGCTTGGGGTTGTCCTGACCTCCTCCCCCCACAACAACAGCACCAAAGAGAAGCGAAGGACTTCCCACACGACCCAAAGTTCCATTTTGGCCTCCTGCCAACAACGTGAGCAAGCTCTGAAACAGAGGTAAAACCATCTGCTGTGCAAAACTGAATTAACGGTTGCCCGCCCGATTGCGAGCCCACTCTTGTGCAACATACAGAGAATCAACATAGTGCGACAATAGCAAACGTTCAGCCATGAGCTGCAGACGCAGCTGTGCCTTGCGCTTTTTCCACTCGTGCAGTTCTTGCTCCAAGTCGCGCACGCGTTGCTGCTCTGCTTTCTCTGGGCTTATACAAAACGCGACCAGCCTTCTCAATTTGGGCGGTCTATCATTCTGGCCCTGTCCGTTCTGGCCAACAGATGTAAAACCATCCGCTTGTTCATTTTGGCCAGCAGAGCTAAGACCATCTGCCCGTTCATTCTGGCCAGCAGAGGTAAGACCATCTGCCTCTGCTTCCACTATATTCGCTGGCTCTGAAGTCAAAGGCAGCAGCGAGTCGTCCATACCAGGCGGCGCTTCCTGGACCGGCTCGTCGAAGTCACCCAAATTGTCGTTAATCCAACGTTGCACTGCCATGCTGCTTGCCCGTGCTAAAATGAGCTGCGAGCCCTGTCACCAAATGAGCTGCAGGCAAAATTCTTTTACCTAAGTGGGTCGACGGGCCTTGGTTGGACAAATCGCAGTGGATATATTTATTACCGGTGGGGCAACATTACCAAACTTACGGCGGGGTGGCATCTTAGGGGTGGCAACTTACCGCAGGGGGCAACTTACCGAAGGGTGGGTCGGTAAGTTGGAGCCTTTTGGGGAGCCTTTTGGAGCCTTTTGGGGAGCTTCGGGGCTGCTTCGGGGGCGATGGAGACTTTTGGGGAGCCTTTTGGGGAGGTTGGAGCCTTTTGCAGCCTTTTGGGGAGCGGTTGTGGAGCCTTTTTGGGGAGCTTCGGTTGTGGGGGCTGCTTTGGGGCGTTTTGGAGACTTTGAATGAGCCTTTTGGAGCCTTTGCGCTGCTTCTGGGCTGCTTCTTTGGGCCGCCTTTCACCCGACCCAACCCTACCCAACCCTACCCAACCCTACCCAACCCCAACCCAACCCTACCCCAACCCTACCCTACCCTACCCAACCCTGCGCAACCCTACCCAACCCTACCCAACCCAACTTTTCTACAACAAGTCATGCCTAAAGAAGCCTGACAGCCGCAGATTTTGCCTCGCGCGGCCGTCTCTGCGTTAAAGTCACCGCTCTTCCAGGCGATGAGGTAAGACCATCATCGCTGGCGGCCAGGAGCAATGAGGTAAGACCATCACTGCTTCTCTCCAGATGAGGTAAGACCATCAGCGCTGCTGCGAGTGTCTCCAGCTGTCTGTCCACTCATGCCAGCAAAAGCGCAAGGGCATGTCTTCATGCCTCAAATGGGAAACCGGCATGTTGTATGGGGTGCAGCGCGTCAATGCATGAAAACCCCAGTCTCCCAACGGGATGTGGACCTCGTTGGTTGCTATCACCCTAGCCAGCACTCTTTTTACATCATCCAACGTCCAATTGCTGTCTGCTTCGAGTGTCAAAGTACCGTAACCGGGCACATCGGTCACGGTCACTTTGACACGGCTGGTTAGGGCAAGGACACCTGGGGTAAGACCACCAGGTCCAGGATTTGCGGCACTTCTGCTTTGCCCTGGGGTAAGACCACCAGGATTCACGACTTGGGCAACCACTCCACGCAAAACCGTGCTGGAGGACGGGTAGGAGGACATAGCTTATTTCAGGAAGTGGCTGCTTGAACTTGATCAGCTTTAACTTGATCAGGAAATGGCTGCGGCATGCAAGAAACTGTCCGCAAAAAAATGCATCCACTGACTGCCGCTTGCTGTGGAGTTTTTGAGTCCATCTACGACACTACACACTACATCACCACGGCACACAACCCCCACTGCATCCACTGACTGCCGCTTGCTATGGGGGTTTTTGAGTCCATGTACGACACTACACTCACACTACACACTATATCACCACGGCACACAATTCAAGAACGACAGCTGGCTTCAAAGGGAAGATGAGAAAGGCAGTTTGGCAGTTCGGCGCACCATTTTCAACGGCGCTGCGCAGCTCCGACCCCTATCACACTTCAGGCCCGGTGTGACACAAAAGTGACACAAACGGCCTATTATTCTGAAGTTTTTCGCGCCGCGTGCGCACATGGATGAGGTAAGACCATCACCACACGCAGTCACCTCCCGCATGAGGTAAGACCATCACCAAACGCAGTCGCCTCCTGGATGAGGTAAGACCATCATGGCCGGTCACTTCAGAAGACTTGAGACTTTCGCAGAGCCTTTCAGACACAGCAAACGGCCAGCTTCTGTAGTATACTGAACCCTTCCCTTCTCTAGTATGGTGAGTCCGTCCATCTTCTCCTCAAGGTTCCGGCGCAACTCGCAAACTCTCATTGATGTAGTTGCCTTGACGGAAGCCCAGCGCCGCCCAGACATGCGACTCATGATAACTTTCACTTCCCTGTTCATGCGCCGCCGAAACCTCAAGGACACAACAGTTTGCCCAACAGACTCCACCAAGATGTTGCCACCACGTGGATGGTGCAGCAGCCACTGCTGACAAGTACTTGTCCTAAGTGTAGAGCTCACTGAGAACATCAGTGCGCCACCGCCCCGCTTTGCACGGAAAGGGTTTTTTTCCTCCGGCCTCTCCAAGTCAAGGAAGCGAAAAGACCTGCCCTATCACAGTTTTGCACCCTCAAGAAAGAGTGAACATCAGGTCTTTCGTGTTGACAGAGAGGCAACCCATCTCGTTTCCGAAGACCCCTCCATCTGCATGGACCAAATTGCAGTAGCGGGAAGTTAGCGTCATCATCAGCCATTGCAAGAAACAATTATGCTGAAGAACCAGCCAAGAGCAGCAACGGCTGCGGCAACTCTCACTGACCATGGATTCGGGCCCAAACACGGATTCACTCGGGAAAAAACAATCCGCAACTAGTTGCGTTATGTGTTTTCCTATGGATTCGGGCCCAAACACCGATACCCTTGGAAAAACCCAATTCCCAAAGTCGGATTCCCTTGGAAAAACCCAATTTGCAACTAGTTGCGTTATGTATTTTCCTATGGATTCGGGCCCAAACACCGATACCCTTGGAAAAACCCAATTCCCAAAGTCTGATTCCCTTGGAAAAACCAAATTTGCAACTAGTTGCGTTATGTATTTTCCTATGGATTCGGGCCCAAACACCGATTCCCTTGGAAAACCCCAATTCGCAACTCTTAACCCTACACCCAAAACCCAAAACCCTGGGCCCTAAACCCCTAAACCCTACCACAGCCCCCACAACCCCCCTCCATGCCACCAACAGACAACCCAGACAGACCCTAGTAGCCACCAAGGCCCCAAAACAGCACACCCAGCACACCCGCATAACATCGGCAAGTTTTTCTCTAGCGCGAGCTTAGCGGCTATGGCCTCCGCCTCCTTGCGGGCCTTGGCCTTTGCCGCGCTAGCGGCCGCGTTGGCTGCGGCGAGCTGGTCTAGCTGGGCCTTTGCTGCAGCAGCAGCGGCTTCTGTAGCGGCGAACCTCTGCGTGAGGCCCGCTGACATATAGCGTCATCCAAACTAGCGATATCGTCCTGGGACAGGTCGGCCCAGCTCGTAGCGGACAGAACTCGACGCTGCATCATGTTAGCGGGGCTCTGTTGGCGGACCCCGGCCCCTAGCCACTTCCTGGGCGGGGCCTCCTTGTCTAGCTTTTCGATCGCCTCCTGCGACATAGCGATCAGCTCCTCATCGGTGCACTCCGATGGTCGGAACCTTAGCGCCCTCCGCAGACGGGAGGGTCTCTGGCAGGTAGTCGCCAGTAGCGGGCTCCTCGGCCGTAGCGGGGCCATCTGCTGGCCCTGCGCCCTTGGGCGATGTAGCTCTGGCATCCTTGCCTTTTCCTCCCATAGCGGCGCCCAAGGCACGGATCGGGTGAAACGGCTAAAGAAAATCTAGCTACCCCAAGGTAGCGAAGCCGAAGGCTACCCGTGGGTCGAGGTTTAGCACAGTCACTGGCTCCTGCGCCTAGCTCCTTTGTAGCCCTGTTGCCTAGCGGGTGTAAAGCCCGCACGTTTCGTAGCGCCTTCCTCCGCTCCTTAGCTCCTTCCTGCAGGACGGACCTAGCGCAAGCACTGGCTCCTCTCCTAGCTCCTGTGTTCCCTGGGTGGCCAGAAGAGGGGTCTCCCGGCCCCGGTTTCCTAGCGCCTGCCTTCGCTCCTTGCTCCTCCTGCAAGACACTAGCGGAACACGAAAGCACAACACAGGCACACAGCAAGTGACATGTAGCAAGAACGTGGTTCCCTCCACTCTCTTCTTTCTCCCGCTCCCCCCCCCCCCCGCCCCCCTTCAC